AGTTTGAACTGCACAGTGAGACCCTGTCTCAAAAAAAAAACAAAACAACAACAATAAAAAAAAAGACTTAATAATGCAGAAAGAAAGAGTGTAAAGAAGAGGGAGGACCACACTGGGGATAACCACAACCTATTGGAATTTTACAGGACTTGCCTTTCCCCACGGCGTGAGTTTTTCTGGGTCATCCTCTGATCCCACAGGCACTGCTAAGATGCTGCCTCCTATACCCAGGTATAACTCCGAATCGAAAGGGAAAGGGCCAGGATCCCCAGCCTTACCCCATCTGTCCTCTACTGACTCTAAGAGCTACCCCAAAAACCTAAAACAGAGATAGTTGCTAGGGCCTCTTCCCAGTTCCTAAACTAGGAAAGTTTCTCGCTCCTTTTATGCCCAAGTAGGTCAAAGTAAAACACGAGTTGACAGCTCAAAGCACTTGTAACTGCTGCCCTCTCCTTACCTCTACCCCCCAAAATGGAATCATGGGATAGGGAAGGCCCACAGGGTGTCGGAAGGGCAGTACTTGTAATTATTTTTGTTGTACCCTTCATAACCTAAAGAAATGTTTTTTTCTGAGGAAGTCAAGTCCCTGCCAGCACACACACTGTTTTTTATGCACTACGGTTCTTATGTCTGCTGTGCTACACAAATGAAGACTTATTTCAAAATAAGTTCATTTTTAAAACTACATTTAAAAAAATTCAGGGGCCGGGGATATAGCTCAGTGACACAAGCGCCTGCCAGGTAAGCATAAGGTCCTGAGTTAGATTCCTAGTACCAAAAAAAAAACTCTCTAAGCTCCTCCCCGCAACAGAAGTCACTGCATAAATTGTTCAGCAGAATTCACCCATCAGAGTATTTGTTATAAGTGTAGATTATCAATTGAAAAACTATGCTGTTTTCTTAATTGTGTAGTTTGTCATATGCATCTCTTCAAGAGACAGTATGTTCTTTCACTCTTAGTCCCCTCTTCCCTTCATCCTCCTGAATGGCTTCATCATCAGGAGGTATATCCAGGGTGTCTCCCTCTTTCCCATTGTCCTGATCAGAACCTACCAGGCTATTCTGTCTCTTTAAAAAAGCTTTGCTAAAAAAAATAAAAATAAAAAATAAAAAAGCTTTGCTTTGTTGTCTTCTCAGACATATATACTCATATACATTTTAAATGTTATTAAAAGAGAGATAATTTTTAAATGTGCCAAGTTGTGTGTGTGTGTGTGTGTGTGTGTGTGTGTGTGTGTGTGTGA